CGTCAGTCCCGAAAAGGCTTGGTATCCCCAGAAGGTCTTAATATTCCTCAGCAAAGTATACAGATATTCCTCAGTAAGCGTAAAGAGCATCCCCGACAGTATTAATATTCCTCGACAGAGTATAAGAATGTTCCCCAGCGGAATACAAGATACCCCCAGTGAAGCCATTCCCCAGCGCAGTCTAAAAAGATTCCCCGCTAGAGTTGAATCATCTTACCTAGTAGATTCTGGAAGCTTGTCCCCTACAAAGTACAAATGTATCTCCCCAACCATATTCAGAAGGTTATCTTCACAAGAGTCTAACTGGGTTATCCTCAGTGAGTTGCAGCTGAAAGGTCATCCCCAGCAAAGTTCTTTCTATCCCCGGCGAAAGTCATCATCAAGATCCCCAACAGAGCTTATCAACGGAATCCCCAGCGGAGTTATTGTTAAAATCTCAACGAAGCACCTCTACCCCACAGAGTAATCTCTTCACCAGGTTTATTCCCCAACGGAGTTATTTTCTACTACAGGTTTATTCTCACAACCATCTTCGTTCATCATCCCCAGCGGAAACAAAGAACTCAACACTATTCTCCAGCAGCTCCGGGATTTATTTTCCCCAGCTAAAAACATCACATCTTCATACATAATGACATGCATACGCATCATACAACACAAATCTCATTTATTTTGAGAACATCATGACATCATGCATTTCATACATCATGACATTGCATACAACTAATGTTTTGCCTTTTCAGGAAGAGGTCAAGCAAAAGATGATTACCATCAACCTTTCCAAGTCCCAGTTTAATACCTGTAGCAAGCCATGGAAACTATCTGTGGACGACTGATTGTAGATCAATACCTGTAACAAGCCAGGAAAGTTATCTACATAAAGAGATCGAAGATCAATACCTGTAACAAGCCAGGAAGACCATCTTTCTTTCTCAGGTCAGAGATTAATACCTGAAACTAGCCAGGACAACTATCTCCTCGACCAACCTTTCTTAAGTTCCAGATTAATACCTGTAACAAGCCAGGAAAACATCTGCGGACGACTGACTGTAGGTTAATACCTGAAACCAGCCAGGAAAACCACCTACACGAAGAGATTGAAAATTAATACCTGTAACAAGCCAGGAAAGCTATTTTTCTTTCTCAGGTCAGAGGTCAATACCTGTAACCAGCCAGGACAACTATCTCATCGGCCAACCTTTTCAAGTTCCAGATTAATACCTGTAACAAGCCAGGAAAATTCTGTGGACGACGGATTGTAGGTTAATACCGGAAACCAGACAGGACAATTATCTACTTGACCATCATAAAGCAACCCTACACCGGTTCCTTCTCTCTTTCAGATGAAGTTTCACACAGACTCATCATCAGGCAACCCTACACAGGTTCCTTCTTTCAACTTACAAAGTTACAATTCAACAAACAATCTCCAGATGGCATCTATAAGCCCATCCTCCTACCAACAATCTCCAAATGGCATCTGTAAGCCCATTCCCGACACCACGTACTACACCATGCGAGTGCAAATTTCTAGGCACTTTAGTGTTCAATCATCTTCCACCTTTGGATCATGAAAGACACACAAGCCAATCTACATCCTCAAGTTTAAGAAGATTGAACAGGGGCAACTGTTGTACCCCAAAATTTTCCCTCCCATATTCCTCAAGATATGTCATGGCTTAGAACGCATCTTAAAGAAATGGTTCATAAAGAACATAAGTTTTATTACTTCTAACTGTGATTTTGTTGTAGAGCTTGTGATACATTCTAAAGCTCTAAGGATTCCAAGTTATCTTGCCCAAGTTCTGGAGATTCTAAAGACAAGGTTATGTTGAACAACTTCTGATGATTCTAAAGGCAAGGTTATGTTGAACAAGTTCTGAAGATTCTGAAGACCAACGGTTCTCTAAACCAAATTCTGAAGACTCTAAAGACAAGGTTCTGTTGAACGAAGTTCTGAAGACTCTGAAGAAAAGGTTATGAAAACTCTGAAGACCAAGTGTTGAAGACTCTGAAGAGAAGGTTCAGGATGAACAAGTTCTGAAGACTCTGATGACATGGTTCTGGAGACTTAGCTTTGATCCTTCTACACATGCTTCAACCATTATACATCTAGAAGCTTTTTAAGATTAGAAGAGAAGATCAAAAAGTTTCACGTGAGCTGCAGTACAAGGGACAACATAACCTCGCCTCCACTAAGTTGGTTTTGTGGTGCAAGGACAATACTTCCGTACTAGGTTATCAACCACTCTCTCACTGACCGTTGCAAGAAGACAACTGGAATTTTGGTATTCATATTCTACCCTCCAAAGGATTTCTTTTCATCTATAAACGGAAGACTTGGAAGAATTGGAAATGTTGAAGAACTTTGAAGAAACTCATGCTTATTCAAGTTTCTAAAATGCTGCCAAAATAACTATGTAATTTTTGTAAAGAAAGGAGTTATTGCTTATTAACTTGCTACCAAGTGAAACAACCGGCTGAAAATCATCAAACAGTGAAGTCGCCATTGAACGTCTTTTATACCACATGAAGGGAAAGGTAAACATTGAGAAAACCTGAGAAGGGAGAAGTCACGGTCTTGCGACCGAGAGATCGGGTAAAGGAGTCTGTTACGCGAGAGGAAGGTACTAGCACCACGCACGCCGGTAGGACTCTACGGTATCCACTCTTGTTATCTATCTTATGGGTGTGTCTAAACTATGCTTACTATTTACTATTAAGGAAGAATGCATGCAAAATAAAGGAGAAAAGAATGTAGGGAAAATAAAGTTGTACTCGCTTGGGCCCTACCCCAATGCCTACGTATCCTTTTTGAGGAATCAGAGTTACCGTAGTTCGGCTCATATGTTTTTGTTTATTTGTATTTTTTATGAACAATGTTAATTCTGCCTTCTGTCGCAGCTCGACCTTTGGAGACTTACGCGTTGAAATAAAAGTAAGTTAATCATGTCCTTATTGAAAAATGTTTTTGAGTTATTACCTCAAGGAAAGATGCCACATTTGATTGGTTTGTGTTTTTTACCTTGAAAAAGGTTTAAGTGAGATTAGCATGTTTTAGGATTTTCTAAGAAAGGAGGTTTTAGTTTTAGATGCAAGGATGCAAAAAGGGAAGAAAAGAGTCAATGGAGGACTAGTCTATTTCTAAACCTAATGTTATCATACAACGGTAACCCTACATCAAATATGAAAGGGAAATCTCTACCTAATGTTAGCATGCATGATTTGCAACCTAAGGTCTAACTTGCATCCGAAAGGAGCAATCACATCCTAAGGGAACATGGTATGTACAAGGATAAAACAAGCAAGCTCGAAGGAGCACACACATAAAATAGTAAGGAAAAGAAGTGAAATTCTTTAGCCAAGTGGAGAGTATCACCCGAGACAAACAAGCGAGAGTGAGTTGAAAAACAAAAATGTGATGTCCAAAGTGACTGAACACCTAACCAAGATATAGGAGATCGAGGTAGGCGACAGAAGATAATATAAACGATCACGGAGTGTCAACATCAGCCAATGCGAACTCCTGGCAAAGCGTGGGGGTTCGATTGCAGAACCCTTCCCCACTTGATGACTCGACAACAAGAGTAGGCATAACTCCGAAGAATTGTGGTGTGTCACGATCTAAGGATGACACAGACGAAATTGCGGGAGTTAATTGTGAACCCTCCTCGCTCGTCTCATTTTGAGGACTTCAATAAGGGATGGGGGAATATTGCGGGAACAAATATAAACACGCCTGCAAAATACCTACACAAAGGTAGGGTTGTAAACAAACCACACACAAGTAGCACACAATGGCAAACAATGCGGAATTTCCCTAAATGGGTCTTTAAATAAACTAGAGGGGTTCCTGACATGATCAACAATGGAGACCCCTGTCATACATATCTATTCCTACTTCTCATGGAATCAGAAAGCAGTAAAGCCCTACTTCTCATGATCTCTAGAAAAGCGGTAAAGAAATCCGATAAAGTGCGGAGAAATACAAAGGTAGTAGCAACAACTACCACAAGCAAGCCAATCGTCGAAATCACACGAAATTAATGGAGAAGCAGGGAGTACGCATCGACCAAGCTTCACCAACAAACAAACAAATCAGAAATAATATCCAACTAAGATAAAAGCAAAAGTGTGTTGCAAATGCAACGCGCAATCAGAAATTCCTGCACAAAGTATAAAAAAGATCACATGCATTAGGACAATATATAATATGATATGAATTTCTCAAGACAAAGAGAAATAAGGTGTGTCGCATTGGAAGCGAGCATAAGCCATATGCTTTTATCACATAACAACTTGTTATGTTACATGATCAAAAGCATCAAAATGTACCTTGCACAATGAACAAACGCGTCAAAAATAACGAGGCATAACGGCATGAAAATATGAAGAAAAAAAACTAAAACAAAAAGTATTTTTTATTATTAGTTTTTTGTGTGAAGAAAATTCCATAAAAAAAACTAAATAAATATATTCCTAAAACCAGCTAAAAGTTTTAACAAACTTTATTGCTTTTATTACAATTTCTCATCAATAATTTCCTTATAACAAACAACAAAGAAAATGAAATATAGAAAAAAAATCTAAACTTAGGGAGTGCTGAAGTTAGAATTGAAGTGTGAACCAGCAAATAGGAATATGAGCGCTAGGCCCAAGCAGACTAAGTCCAAGTAGACAGCTAGTTACAATAAACTTCAGACAGGCCAAAAAACGGTTCATGGGCTCATGGAGATAGAAAACTCAGTCCAATCCCTATCTCACTAGTCAAGGTCCAATTCAGATTTTTTTATCAAGGTCCAATTCAGATTTTGAACAAAGAGGAACAGGCCTAAGGGGTGTGACTTTTTACAGGCCCAACAACCCGCATTCTATCATTTATTACATAATAAAAAATATAAAAAGAAATTAAAAAAAATAATAAAAAAATAAAATGGATTAGGGTTATATTGGGGGGGGGGGGGTAACTGTTAGAATCCTATGGTTTATATCCTTCTCAAATGCGAACAGAGGAGAATTTAATCCTCCTTCTCCTTACACCGCCTCTCTTCTTTTTTGACGATTTCATTTTCTTCTTCGCAGAACTTCGTCACGGTTTCAACATCACAGTATCGCAATTTTATTCTTTGATGTCGATTTCACTCACTCCAACATCGATTGTATCTCAGCACCAACGTATTTGTTCCGCTTCATTTCAATCTTTACTCTCCACACAAACAGAAGACGTAAAAAGAGTGAAAGAAGAAGGTTTACCTCCCGAAGAAAGTGTCTGGTACCTCTTCGATGTCGGAGAGGAGCAACAAAAATCTAGAGAACGTATTCAGGTATGTTTGCGATTCTCGTTTCTTTCCACAGAACCTTCTACTTCCGCCTCTTTTCGTTTCCAAATTTTTTCTACGTATTCAAATGATGATAATTAGATTTGCTAAAGATGAAATTTATGTTGAAGGTGATTGAAGATGCAGTTGATGAGATGTGTAGAAGACTCAGAGATATTTCAGAGAATGCAGAGCGAGAATTGAGATTTATTTTTGGTGAGTTTATTGTGTGGTCTTGAATCTCTGTAGATAAACTGTGAATCACCTTTCTCTCCTTTTTCTGTTACTTTTTTCTGTTCTCCATGCCTCCCGAGTCCTCCTCTGTTTTTCTGTTTTTTCAATCTGTTATCCATATTTTTGGAAGTTAGTTAGAGTGGTTAGAGGATAGTGGAATCGGTTGAAAATAGTTGAAAAGTTCTATTTGGAAAATGGTTGAAATTTCTTAGTTATTTTTTGTTTTTTCTGTATAAGTGTGTGAACTGGCTTTTTTGTTAAGAGGTTGGAAACTGTTAGGCTTAGCTGGAATTCTGTTAGAGAAGAGGTTAAGGAGTTATGTTGCCCGCTGATTTTTTCTGTTAAACAATTAAGAAGTTAGAGGGAGTTAGCTAGGAAGTTAGGACTCTGTTAGGCTTTTGTTGGTTTTTTAAGTTATATTTCTGTTGAGAAGTTCAGTTGGATTCTGTTAACTCTGTTACACTATACGTTATTCTTTTTATAGTTAGTTGTGCCAAAACTGTTGGGAAATTATGCAGGTTGGTAAATTGGTTTAATATGAGCTGGAAGTTAGAGAGTTATATTAATTTTCCATTTTCATTTTCTGATTTCTAAATATTCTACTTTTCTGAGCTTTGACTGGTGGTTGAACTGATGCAGCTGGTTTTTGGGTTGCTTCTTTTTGTCATTTTCGAGACTGATGCAGGGCGGTTGTTTGCTGTTGATGAACAAGTCATGAAGTTTATGAAATGGTGAATGCTTTTGGATCATGAAGAAGGTTTGAAACATGAAGGGCATGAAATGTTGGTACATGGAGATCTTAGAATTTGAGCAACGTGAAGAAGATTGAAGATGGAGGTTGGTTATGGAGCATTGAATATTGGTTAAAGCATGGCATATCATGAAGTTATGATGATGTGAGGATAAAAGATGAAGACAAAGTTGGGTAAATATTAGGTATTCTAGGATCTTTGGCTCAAATCGAATAGAACTTGAAATCTTTTGTAACATTTGTAACAGTATGGATGTGTTTTCGATAGATTTTCCATGTAATTTGAATTGTTTCTTTCTATTGTCTTTGTAATTTTGTAGAATGTGTAACGACCATGACATGAATGACGAAGATCTTTAAACTAGAAATTGCAATGAGCTAGTTTTATAATAGCTTGATCTTGTAAGGATTTGAAATCGGATTATATTTTTTGAAATCTTGGAGTATGGGATGTGATTGGAATGTTGATAGGATGAACTTCTCATAGTGAAAAGGTCTTGAAGCCATAATGAACATGGTGCTTGATTTTGTAAAAGAAGCATACTTTATAAACCCTTGAATCCAAATGATACATTCTTCAAAATATTAAAAGTGATATTCCTTTTCAAATTGATCGTGAATTCCTAATGTATTCTCTTATAATTGCATTTGAATAGACAATCATGTATTTCCATGCCTTGACTTTTCAACAATGGAATGAATCACCTCCCTTAAGTATCCTCAAGTAATTGAATATGCTTGACTATCTCTAGGACCTTTGATCTAAAACTCTAACGTTTCATAAGACAACACTAGGTTTTAATCTCGAAGCACTTGAAATGAAGCCCCAAGGAAAGCTTAGGCCATAAGTAAACCCAAGTACTCAAATGAAATCATTTTTCACATTGATGTCCACAAACCCTTGTTTATGAATAAAATCCAAGTGAAACTATCTTTCCATCTTTTTGTATGAAAACCCTAGCCATATGCTTTATGATTCACTATAATAAGTGAACTTTCCTTGATGAAGAAAAACCAATAGAAGACCTAGATTTCAATGGATAAGATATTATTCAATGATAGCTTCCTTATGTTACATATTAAAGAGCTCTCTCGAACAAAACCTTAAGGTGTCATGAATACACTAAGATCTCTTCCATAATCTCGTACCTCAAGCACTAATGGAATCCCTTTGATGATGAGATGAACTGATGAATAAATTTCATGGATCCTTCTTGAATTCCACATGATCAAGAAAATAACTCTAATCCCTATGGAGATGATGAGCACACGGAGATGACCTTCAATGCTTTAGTTTGTAGCCCTTGAGTCTTTAGTTGAGATAAGGTTACAAAGAGATGAAACATTGATGCCTAAGTGAAACCCTAATCCTGTGACCATTGACCTCAATTACCAAGCCTTGTTGTTAGTGAATACATGGTGTATTATATAACCTAATGGGGATATGTGCAGATGAAATGAGAATTGTATAAGCCAAATAAAAGTGAAAGGGTAGGACAAATTTGAGGTATTACAGCTGCCCCTATTTAATCGTCTTAAACCTAAAAGTACGATTGGCGCGTGCCTTTCGGACATTCGAGGTAGGAGATTATTAAACATCAATGCCAAAAATTTGTTCTGAAAGAATGTGTGAGTGTTTATTTATCTTTTGTGATATTTGTTGGGGAAAGAATTTTTTATTTTCTAGTGAAGAGATGGAGATTGGACTCGTAATGTAGCGTGATGCCATTATAAGACAAAGGTTGGTATGAAAATATGGAGGATAAGATCGACGGGTGACCTACGATCCTAAGGTGAAACATAAGAGAGATCTATCGGAGAACTAGGCCTTTGGGCGACCTCGGGATTCTACGAAGATACCTATGGGCGATCTGCTGAAGAACTAGGCCTAAGGGCGACCTCAGAATTCTAAAAAAATATTTATAGGGATAACTAAGCCTACGAGCCGCCTCAGGGTTCTAAGATGAAACCTCATCTACTGGAGAACTAGGCCTATGGGCGGCCTCATAATTCTACGATGAGACATCAAGGCGGTCTATCGGAGAACTAGACCTATGGGCGACCTCGGGATTCTACGAAGATACCTATGGGCGATATGCTAAACAAAATAAGCCTAAGGGTGACCTTAGAATTCTAAAACAATATTTATAGGAATAACTAGGTCTATGGGTGACCTCAGGGTTCTAAGATGAAACCTCACATACTGGAGAACTAGGCCTATGGGCGACCTCAGAATTCTATGATGAGACATCAATGCGATCTATCGGAGAACTAGGCCTATGGGCGACCTCGGGATTCTATGAAGATACCTATGGGCGATCTGCTAAAGAACTAGGCCTAAGGGCAACCTCAAAATTCTAAAACAAGATCTAAAGGGAGAACCAGGCCTACGGGCGACCTCGGTGTTCTAAGATGAAACCTCATCTACTAGAGAACTAGGCCTATGGGCGACCTCATAATTCTATGATGAGACATCAAGGTGATCTGTCGGAGAACTAGGCCTATGGGCGACCTCGGGATTCTACGAAGATACCTTGGGCGATCTATTAAAGAACTAGGCCTATGAGCGGCCTCAGAATTCTAAAACAAGATCTAAAGGGAGAACTAGGCCTACGGGAGACCTCAGGTTTCTAAGATGAAACCTCATCTACTGGAGAACTAGGCCTATGGGCGACCTCAGAATGCTACGATGAGACATCAAGGCGGTCTATCGGAGAACTTGGCCTAGGACGACCTCATGATTCTATGAAGATATTTATGGGTGATATGCTAAAGAACTAGGCCTAAGGGCGACCTCAGAATTCTAAAACAAGATATATAGGAAGAACTAGGCCTACGGGCGACCTCAGGGTTCTAAGATGAAAGCTCATCTACTAGAGAATTAGGCCTATGGGCGACCTCAGAATTCTATGATGAGACATCAAGGCGATCTGTCAGAGAACTAGGCCTAGGGCGACCTTAAGATTCTACGAAGATACCGATGGGCGATCCGCTAAAGAACTAGGCCTAAGGGCGACCTTTGAATTCTAAAACAAGATTTATAGGGAGAAATAGGCCTACGGGAGACCACATGGTTATAAGATGAAACCTTATCTACTGGAGAACTAGGCCTATGGGTGACCTCAGAATTCTACGATGAGACATTAAGGCAATCTATCGGAGAACTAGGCCTATGGGCGACCTCAGGATTCTACGAAGATACCTATAGGAGATCTGCTAAAGAACTAGGCCTAAGGGAGACCTCATAATTCTAAAACAATATCTATAGGGAGAACTAGGCCTACGGGTGACCTCAGGGTTCTAAGATGAAAACATGGGTTACGACATGATGAGTGAAGGTACATGGTACGATTGACTGTACTGATTTTATTGGAATCTGGAGAAAAAATAGACACAGCAAAATACTTGGAAAAGCTAACACTAACGGGTATTTAGAAAGTTGACGTGGACGAGTGTTTAGAAATATAATGTACTAACACCGCTAGCTGGATATCGTGATATAACGAAGGATGTTAGATGAAAGTTTGGGAGCGATATCCTCTTGTGGGTATGTATTATTGTCTTTGAATGATTCATGTCTTTTATGTAAGGTACCCGATCTGGCTTATGCTTCATATGCATGTTTGAATTTCTTTTGTCGCAAAGATCCATTCTAATGGATCGAATACGCGCTTTTAAGGATGCAATGTTATGCAGTGATAAATATATGCAATGCACATAAATAGACTTCACTAGGATAAGCGAAGGCTCGTTGGGAATTGTTGCTCATCACTGGGCGTGTCAATACATATCGATGCTAGAAACTCGTGGTACCAAGGATAATTGGGGATGCTTATAAGAATTTTCACTGGGGGGATCATGATACCGAAGATTATGGATGACTCCGCTGAAGATTGAATTGCTGACAAAGCGGGTTTTCAGGTACGCCACTGAGTTCTGAATTATGTTGTTAGGGAAGAGATAATCAGACCCAACTTCCCTACATCCTGAACCGTCTGGAGGATTGTAGGACTGGATATGCCGAGGAATAGGTATTGAACACCATGTGGATCTCTTGAAAACATGCCATAAGTTTATGCCACATTGGGGAATCACCTGTTGAATCATTTGGGGATAAAAGATTGACATGAACACTTGTGAATGCCTCAGTTTACTCCATTGGGGAAAGTCTATAGGAAAATTTAGCAAATGCCTCGGTTTAGCTCTGTGGATGCCCTAGTTTAGCTTTTGGGGGACGTGCACTTATGTGTGCCAGTCAAACGATGACTCCGAACTTTCTGAGTTCACATGGGGAATCTAATTTGAAAATGTCTGTAGCAGATGAAGGCGGCTTCACGTGCTGGCTAGATCAGGATGGCTTTTGTGATTCTTTTAGCTCAATTGTAGTTGGATCGTGCAACATAATTGGCTTGATCAGCTTTGCGAGTACGGGTGAAGAATGCCCTTGTCTTTGGGTTTTACGAAAGAATTTGTGCTTAATAGAAGACCGTAATATCCGTGCCACAATACGATATGAGGTGGCCTACCCCAATCTCTTGAGTTACGAAATAAACTGCTCTTGATTACAGCTTTCTTGGAGAGATTTGTCAAATCTCGACGTGACTTCCCCGGGTTGAATGAATTCTGAATAGATTTCTCGATGTAATTTCCCTAAGTTGGTGGCAACTTGAATAGGTTTGTCAACGTGATGGCTTCAAATTGGTCGAGCTTGAACTCAACGGGGTGTTCTCATGCTGGTCTTCTAAAAATTCTGCCCCAGAATAGGATCATTCTGTAAGATGATTTCCTTTCCAACATATTCCTGAAACAAGTTTTCATTTGATGCTCATCATGAAAGCTTACTTAATGTTTAAGCACTCATTCATATGCAAAGAATGTTTCTCTAAGAATGATAATTCTAATGCAAATCTTATGCTTGTCTTGAAGTAAAAAAATTTTTATTGAAAAGATGTCGAAGCATCGAGTTTTTCTTGTATGAAAGACA